GACATGGGCATGGCATACCTATTGTTTAAATTCGACGCGTAAGTTATTATGATTACAATAATATTTGATAAAATAATAACCATATTGATCTGATGAAATCTTTCGATGCATTTCACACTAAATACTTACACGTCTCGGACACTTAGTCATCATCAATGACCTACTTTTTAGGCTCGACAGACTTGTTCTGACTTGATCAGAAACTATCCATAGTAATTTACAACTGAAAGTCGAATGCTATTACTGCCTATATTAGCTAGTAAGTATGCGCTCTCTTTCCTTTCCAAAAAAATATAAGTTTGATTCTAAATAAATTTAATTTTGCAGCCACTATTTATGTTCTTCTATACCAGCTAACAGCATTCTGCTTTGTAAGTTATTAACTCTACTATTACTTTACTCTTAAAAATAATTTCAAATAGTTTATTCAGTACATGGGCCTTTTCCAGGGCACATATACACGTCCCAAATATAGCTTGCCCTACCACCACTTCGGGACAAATGGGCTGATGTTGAGAAGAAGTGGCGGAAAAAATTCAGTCACCTTTATCAGCTTGTTTTCTTATGTGAAACCTCTTAATGTCTTAAGTTAAATCAAAATACGGGCTATTAACATAATTATATCGTGAGAAAAATCCCATATTTAAAAGCTTTAGAAAGTACTAAACAAAACTCAAAGAAGATATACATCTCATACATTTCCTAAGAATATGCTTCATGATAATAATACTTCATTAATCGGATGTCTGCGGTTGCCTTTGTTAGTCAGACTCAGTTTAAGTCTAGAAAAATTATAAGACTACGTGAGGCGATGCAGGTGTAGCATCTTTATGCGGTCGATGTACGTGTAAAAATAAATTAATTCGACTCGATACGTGCAGATAATCGTTGTGAGTAATGTATGAACAAAATTTTGTGTTTTGAGGAAAATACTTAATTCTATTAAAAGATTCAAAAAACAGTTTTATTGATTCTTAATTTTCTACACGATTGCAAGCCGCTACCTACCGGTCATTGTGGAAGTCATTGATCCCCTATGTTCAGTAGTGGTCATAGGGCTGAAATGATGATGATGATGATTTCTACATGATATATTACATCTACAGAATAAAAGTAAATTTTTTACCGGATAGTATCTATAAAGTTAATTGTCAATGGGTATACTAAAATGGCCAGATCAGAGATTAATTTCAGAAAAGTGGTTGCTTTTCTTCGTCCATTTGTACCCGTAGCCTCAACTAGGTCAACTAAGCAATATTCGAGGCCAAAAAATTATCAATTAACTTTCCTATGACTAGTAAAAAATCATAGATTATCGCTATGAAATTAGTGTAACAGGGTAAAATCTAGTGTCCGACCGAATATGGATTTTCAGCCGAAAACGGAAACGAAAACGAAGCTTCGGCTGCAGTCTCATTTTCGGCCGAAAACGAAAACGAAAACGAAAATGACCTTCAACTCTCAAATTTCAATCTGAAATTATGTAAAAACTTTGAAAACCGTTAATGTTTTGACCAAAAACATAATGATGTTTGACAGTTGTTTTTGATAAGGATTGATTAAAGAAAACCGGCATTAAAACACAAAAAATTGAATTATGAATTCTTAGTAGAATATTATTTCCGGTGTATATTGAAATATTGGGAAGTGAAGAAGAAATAAAGGGTGTCCAGTGGGAATTTTTCAACTTCAAAAATGATTCATACAAATAAATTAATGATTTTTTATTATTTATTACTAATGCAAACTGGAGTTTAACAATGCGGATTTATTTTTTTATAGGCAATGTCTTTTAAATGATGCCCGTTTTACTATAGGCACTCTCACAGCCGGACCCTTACATTCGCAACTATGCGAGAGCAAATCGCGCTAATAATTTTCCTGCAACTTCACGGCGGATATTTTCTTACAGAACCTGAATTATTTAAGGATTGTTTTGCTGTAAACTTTTGACTTGAGATATCCCCACAAGAAAAAGTCGCATGGTGTGAGATCTGATGACCGAGGCGGCTAGAAAAAATAGTCCTCAGTGTCTCCATCGAGGTACTCTCCGTGTGTGGTGAGACACATCGACCAGTGACTCATGGCGTATTTCAAATCCGCATTAGACTCTTTTTTGAAATAATTAAACTTAATGAAAACTCTTTGGTTTTATTTGTATTCAATTTTGAACTTGGAAAATTTTCGCTGGACACCCTTTACAATGTAACCTCACTTCAAAACTTCAAAAGAGTGTGACAATACCGAGTCCGTTCAAGTCTGATTGGAACCATGAGTGCATCAGATTCACTTCCGAAGATATCGGAACGATAAACGTCACCATCTTATTCACGTATTTCTGATATTCGGTTTGGCCGAAGCTTCGGCTGGTTTTTGGCCGAAAACGAAAATATGGCCGAATGTCCATTTTTTGGCCGAAAATGGCCGAAAACGAAAACGAAAACGAATATTCGGTCGGTCACTAGTAAAATCGCATTTCTCTGTCACACCATGGCAATTTCTGAATAATTTCCAGTATCTATATCTTAAGTTTACCCGACAGTGATGATATAAGGTTCTGATGACCTACCAATGAAGGTAGAAAGTTAGCTATCCCCCGGAATGGTGGGATGATTTGTTACCCATTTGTGTAGATGCAACTAGAAAATTTCTGGGCCCATCATATCAGATTCATTTCGTCCGTCCAACTGAGCTCTACCAATCTCCAGGAAATGGTTCATACTTTGAAGACTCCCACTAATAAAAAAGTCAAATATTAAAATTGATTTCTCAACTGAATCCTGTTTAAATTAATGTTCATCGTTTTAGGAGAAAATGAATGGTGTTTGGTTCTATCTAAATATATAAAAGGAGAAACTGACTGACTGACTGACAGATCAACGCACAGCCTAAACGGCTAAACGTACGCACTTGAAATTTGGAAGGGACGTAGCTTAGGTACCGTAGAGGTGCACTAAGAAAGGAATTTCCGAAATTCCCACGGGAACGGGAATTAGCGGGAAAAACGGGATTCACGCGTACGAAGTCGCGGGCGGCCGCTAGTTATCTCTATTTTATAATAGAGCATACCATTTTGGTAGTCTTCATTTTTATGACAGCTGCGAAATAATTACAATATTATAATTATTGTAGGTACTCGTAACTGTCCAGAAAAGTGGTAGGTATAGTATTTTAAACTACTGTTAAAGTTTATTATTATTATTGGTTTTGGGCCTTCATTTGCGCCAGCTCGACCAGGTTTGATCTATTGTGGCAGCCCTTGTCTTTAGAGTTCACTGCTTAGTCCCGTTGAGTCTATAAATTTCCAGATTCTTTGGAGCGTGATATCTGCTATCTCATCCGGGTGCATGATGTGTCGCCCGAGATGGATACTTCTTTTGCTCATAAGCGGGCCGCATGAGCAAAGAACATGCATGGCCGTTTCTTCTTCTGTATGGCAGAATCTGCACAGAGTTTCCTCGGTCATGTTCATGTTTGATTTGTGTTAAAGTTTATTAATGTACCTACTGACACTGTCTATTTTCGTTTACTGATGGTTGATATTTATTTTAATTATAGTACCTGCTCGAATGACTCAGGAAGAGTCCTTGACTCTAGAAATTTGGTGTTGGGTGTTTGCATATGACTAATCTTTGCGGGTTTGATTTAAAAGTGGTCTTAGTAAGGTTTGGATATTCGGCTGAGTTTGGTGTGTGGTTTGTGAGAATTAATTTGAATATTATGATGTAAAATAAAGTATTGTGATGAAGAAAGTTCAAGGAAATGTGTAAGTAATTTGACAGTTCACATTTCTATTGAATTTTCATAGGTAGGTGATTGTGATGGTGTAGATTTGGTGTCATACTTAGCCTTCCTTTGGTCATAGCTGAAATACATGAAAAGTATTTTTTATTTCATAATGGTTGCGGTATATTTTTGTAGCTTATTTTTGCACGGATTCGACCTCAAATGTTTTCTAGCCATGGTAAAAATTTAGTTAAGTGGAATATTTGACGCGTTATTGCTTATTTAAACTTGTCATTAATTTAAACTTACTTTTATATAAAATGCGATTTCGCCTGCTTTAAAAATATAACTGTTTCTGTGTAATGGATACCATTTCACTTGAATTGCATTGGATAAAAAAATGAGATTTTAAAGTAAAGTACAATAATTTTTGATTTCCTGTCCTACGATCTCTACATTTTTGGTTTTATTGAACTTATTACAATTTATAGGAAACCGCAAAATATCATCTCATGCCGTGGAAAAATTAAACGACTATGCCCAAGCTATTTCTATCCTTTTACAAATTGCACATTAAAAAAATCAAAACAGAACACTGACTCTACATTTGCGAGGTAACTGACACAGTATTACGAAATTTAGCCTCAATTTTAATTACTTCTTACCGTCGTTTATCAATTTTATAGCGTTTTTAGAGCAAAACAAAAGATCGCACTTGGTCTTAACCCATAACACACCGGTTTCACAAACGTATGGCAAAACCGCAGCAGTAAAATTTAACGCGAACAAACATTACTATTCCTGAATTAGTACTAAAACACACGCGCCTATCACAATATACATAACTCGATCTTCAAGTTGCGAACAAAGAGCCGTTAAACTATCGGATACTGGGTTTAGATGCCGTGACTTGCCGACGCCGAGTGAGCCGACTACCCTGAACAACCAAGTCCCCGATTCTTACGTCACCTCACCCCATACAAACACAGACACCCCATTGGTTGATTCGTTTTGGCGCGCTTTTCAAGTTCCTAAGTCAAAAGCGCAACAATCATCCCCTTCTCTTTCGCTTACGGCAAACACAGCTGCACCGGAGCGAGACAGAATTCCCCTGTCAACTGCTTTGTTACATGATGTAACGAGTTTGGAGCGGGACGGTGAAATGTGCACGGAACAGTGAAAGAAAGGGACAAAGGCAGCGGTGTCGAGGTAACAGTCCGAAGGGAACGTGCTACCGTGCGTTCCACTATTTATAATCAAATAGGTTGCAGCCGTGTGCGAGTGTGGGGACGCGATGCACCGCACTCATACAAGCGCAGGCGTGGAGCGAGGCAATGACGTGCACGAAGTGTTATCCCTCATTACAAGATTCGCTTCCGCGCCGGCCGCACGTACACTAGTTGTCTGACGACCTCTTTTGTAGCGGCGAGTTCGAGTTTGTTTACATCGTAGCGATGCAGCGCGTTAGTTAGCTATTGTGTCATCGACCGTGCAGTTATCGCTGAAATGATTGAGGACAATGCGCGCCAAGTTTTTGCGACGGAACTTTTTGTGAACTTTTCGTGAAGTGACCTCCGGACTGGAGCTTGTGCCATTGTGATAGTGATCTGAACAATTGAACTTTTGAAGATTTTTCTACGTGAGTTTTGATTCGAGATTTTGAAATTTGAACTCGTCAATCATCGCATTTGAAAATCTGATAGTGGTGGGAAAAAGCCGAGAGTTGGCACTCGATCGTTTGAAGCATTTATGCATAAAACTGCAAGTCCTCGCTTGAAAAGACTTTGTGAGAGACAAAGATGGCTATAGCGTTTAACTTGCCTAGCGAGAGGGAGGCGACCGAGGAGAACTTCTCCCGCCTGAACCGGCTCCTGGGTGAGCTGTACGAGGTGTTGTGCCATATCCTGGTGTCACGGCAACCTGGCCAAGAGAACCAGGAGAACAGACGAGGTGAGTGCCCTCGGGAAAATAACACACCACCTTACCACTTAAGATGCAATTCGACCTACATCGTGAACCTTGTGATGGTCGTGGCAATAATCAAAGTATCGCTCGCGTCTTCACTCTTCAACACCATAAGATAAAACCGAAGGTGAATAAGTGTTGTTGTGATACTGCAAAGCAGATATGGACTATTGTTACGTATTTCTAAGCCCTCTCATGTTTGGTTTAAGAGATGTTGTGTCCAACTGCACTTAAATTGTAAATGGTGGTACAGCATCGATTGAAATGAAAATTTTACATTTTCATTTTAATTGGTGTCCGCTCTAACAACCGCTTGAATTTTGCTTTTCGATCCCATTTGAGTGAAGTTCGACAAAACGTTTCTAAATATTTTTAGCGACTGCATTTAATGACGAAATAAAATTTTTGAAATTTGCAAATATTTTTGGATGACTTTGTTGTAAGCTCATGCTTTTTGTACCAACATTTAACCATTGTGTAAGTACCTAAATAATAATTCCGATTTATCATAAAAATAGTGTTGTTAAGTTTTAATGTTTAGTTACATTTCCATTTGATCTCCAATTTTGTTTAATGATTTTTTAAACGCAGATAATTTTGAGTAGTTTAATTTATTATGTCAAATAAGTTTATGGTCTCGATAGTATGATTTAGTTTAGTGAAAACATTTATATAATCATAATTATTGATCATACGTATATGGATCTCAAATTTTATTTTAGTTCCAAATGATATCGATAGTCATAATTACATTTAGTTTCAATTTCATTTCGATTTGATTAGAAACCAAATATTAGTTAAATATTACTCGAAATAAAAATGAAAGTAATGAAAAATTTATACTTGATAAAAGACGATGCGTTGTCATTTTATACATTTATTTTCTTTTATAACAAAATTATTAGGGTTCTTGTAAATATATTTTAAATAAAACCATTTAAATGTAATTTTGTTATGATGATTTTGTTTTACTATGTTATGTTTCGAAAAAAATGTAAAATAATGGAAGAAAAAAAATATTCCTGGTTTGTAAAAAGATTTTAAAGGCGGATGTAGATTTATGATTTTTTTACTTTACAAAATGTAAATATTGCATTTAAATGTTTGTGATTTCTCATGTAAGCATTCTCGATTTACAATTTTATTATATACAACTACCTACATAATAATTAAGGACAGCATGTAATCGATTATACATAAACAGGTTTGTGTTTAATAATTTTATGTCCCCACAATTTATTGGAAAATTGTGAAATAAATATTATTTTGTAAAAACTTTGAAAGTGGATTTTTAATTAAATCACCGATTCTTACACCCCACGTTATAATAAAAATTTAATCAGATAATAGTTTACAAACTAGATAGCTAAAATAATTTTAATCAATGACAAGTAAAAATTAAAGGTGTTAATAATAACGCATAGTGAGTAATGAAACAGTGGCAGTGGTATATTTTTGAAAACTTCGCAGAACTTTAAAGTTTGTATCAGCGCTCAGAATTGATTTTAAAATTTTTCTTCGCTCAAACTACAGAAATTACTGGCTTACAATTTATCATAGTTTACTAACAATATTCTAACACATTTACACAGCTAAACCAGTGTCAAGCTGCAACATACCGTCAATCAAGTCGGAAATAACTCGTGTTTACATTCGCCTGTCAGAACAAACTGGACAGTTAAGCGTCGGGCATACGGTGTAACAATATTGGCAGTGTGAATTTAGAATACATACTGGGTGCTACATTGTTAATTCGAGAAAGTAACAATTAAATTACCAAGAGGATTTTGACTCTTAAGATACAAGGACTGCTATTTGTAAATATTATAATGAAGGAAATAAAACACTTGCANAGGCGGATTTAGATTTATGATTTTTTTTACTTTACAAAATGTAAATATTGCATTTAAATGTTTGTGATTTCTGATGTAAGCATTCTCGATTTACAATTTTATTATATACAACTACCTACTTATTAATTAAGGACAACATGTAATCGATTATACATAAACAGGTTTGTGTTTAATAATTTTATGTCCCCACAATTTATTGGGAAATTGTGAAATAAATATTATTTTGTAAAAACTTTGAAAGTGGATTTTTAATTGATTCACCAATTTTTACACCCCACGTAGATATTTTGGAATAAGATAATAGTTTACAAACTAGGTAGGTAAAATAATTTTATTTAGTGACAAGTAAAAAAAAAAGGTCTGCAGTGATGAAACAGAGGCTAAAGTGTTTTTATTTAAATTTTCGCATAACTTAAAAGTCGGTGTCAGCGCTCAGAATTTACTTAAAAATATTCTTCGCTCAAATCCACAGAAATTGCTAGCTTGCTATTATAGTTTACTAACTAACAATATTCTAACACATTTAAATTTAAAGCTAAACCAGTGTCAAGCTGCTACATACCGTCAATCAAGTCAGAAATAACTCGTGTTTACATTCGCCTGTCAGAACAAACTGGGCAGTTAAGCGTCGGGCATACGGTGTAACAATATTGGCAGTGTGGATTTAGAATACATACTGGGTGCTACATTGTTAATTCGAGAAAGTAACAATTAAATTACCAAGAAGATTTTGACTCATAAGATACAAGGACTGCTATTTGTAAATATTATAATGAAGGAAATAAAACACTTAGAAATANCACTTGCATTTTTTTGATAGTGAAATCAATGCGTGTAATAGACTTTGTTGTGACGTAAGTTAACATGAAGGGAATAAAGTCATAAATAGGATAAATGCTTGTCAAAAATTTCGAATTGAAACTCACAAAATAAAAAAAAATTTTAACTACACTATTTTTTGAGCTACAAAATACTGACTTAAAGAGCTCAATCATTCTAATACTACTAGAGCTCAAGCTGAAAGATACGGCATGAGCTAGTTGCACACGAAACCGAGAACTTAAACCTACCACGATCTTGTACAGTCACGAACGAGAAGGGTCTATGTTAGAAACTTTCAGTTATAAAGTATATCAAAAGTAATAGCAATTACTTACTACGGAATCCTTATTCAATATTGGTTCTAAAATTGATTGCAATAATTGAGGAGCTCCTTGAATACAGTAAATTGATGATCNTGATGATCAGTCGAATCATCTATCTTTTAAAGTAAGTAAGTATATAAACTACTTACTGGGAATTAATTTAAAAAATTAATCCCAAGTTTAAAATATTACTAATATTTTTTTATGATTTCAATAAACAGGTATTTGGAAAAAGGTTTACTGACTTAAGTTAAAAAAAGAAACAAAAAATAGTCATCCCAGATAATTATTGTGTCAAGTGGATTAATAGCAATAACAAAATATAAAATATTGAAACGTTAAGTTCGCAAATTCATAATTTTAAGTACTTGTCGGGTAAGTAATTACAATTATGTTAACAAAGCATAATGATAATGATTTCAAAAACCTTACAAGCAAAACACATAAAGTATAGGTAAAATTGAATTTCTACAAAAAGAGATCCTCGTACAACCTATTAACAAACAACCACGTGCATCGGAGAAAAACTTGTTCCGACCTGTCGTGGACTGGTCAGCACACGAATAGCTATCAGTAAAAAATAAACTACTGAAGAACATAACCTTAACGAAGTAACCTAAATTGATGCACGCCTTCAAAAAACCGATTGTAAAGTTAATTAAAATTATTATAAAGGTAAACAAACTGACCGCAAAACAATTCCTTCTTGTGTCAAAAATGTCAAAAATGTCACAGATAAATAATTAATTTTCCTCAATAACTAACGCTTATATCGCGGTTAATTTGTTGATTCCGAAATGCTTACAGAATAAACATAGAGCTTATAGAGAATTAGCATTTGTATTCGATCAAGAGAAAAGTGATATTGACCCTTTGCATGGCAATAACGAAATTAACATAAAACTTTGCCATTGATATACCAAAAAGACTAGTCCACTTTTTTCAATCATTCTTATTTAAAAGGCTAATAATAAAATTTAACAGTTAAATGGAGGTACGATACTCCACTGATAAAGCCTGCCTGCTTGATGCGAATCACCTCATTTTGATATGATCACGTTAAAATTTTTGGGTTGATTAATCATCTGATATTTTGGAATACGAACTTTCAAGTCCGCTCCATCTAGTGCCTTAACCTCTTAGCATTGGCAATGGACCGGTCACAAATAGTACAGCTTGAAAGCGAAAAGCGATCGGGATCGACGGTCGTGAGCGAAGAAATCGAAAACTACATTTGTATCTATGTCTGTCAAATGCGACTGCAGAGTCGATGCTCCCATTTTGTATGCAGATGTCAATTTAGATGTTTGTAGTCCAAAACTTACGTATTCTGCTGAAGTTAGAGACGAGTGACGTCACTCGTCTCGTGTTACACGTAACAGAATCAAAATAATAACACTGATTCTGATTAATTTTAATACAATCTAAATTTTCTAAATTTTAAAATTTTCTTGTTTCTCATATTGAGATCATCTAATATCGTTTGCAAAAAAAGGTATTAAAAACATCCGTGTAATTTTAAGCTCCAAATTTTATTCGCAGTTTCTGCTGACACAAATACTAGGTAAGTAATAATTTTATGAATACCTACTACTAAACAATAAGAGTAACTACAGTACTCAACGAGATTAATCGAACTACACTCTTTTTGTCGAATCGAACAGCAAAGTTTTATTCTGTGTGGTCTTTTAACAGGCGTTTTACTCTGACAATAGCTGCTTCAAATATTAACCTTTAGCCTTGAAAATAAGGATTACGGGTACTGTTTAAAGATGTGAAAAAAAAAGTCACGCTTTCTGTGACTTGTTTTGGTCACGGAGTGTGAAAACGATTCGCTTGGTTGAATCCAAAGATTTTTTCGACTAAGGTTGTTTTATTAATTGATGCATCTGCATTTATTTTGTTACCGATTTCAGTAAATTTGGGATATTGAGAACTACACCAACCGTGTGCTTATTATGAGACTTTACATTAGGCGTGCTAGCGACTGCGTAAAAATGACATAGCGGCTACTTTCGAGAACTAAAATATTCATAGACTTTTGACGTATTCGCTAGCGATGACGTATTATGAAACTCATGGTCAAGACTCAGATCTTAACTTTAAATTAATTTGTAATTCACAAAAAGTTACTACTACGAGTGAATACTACCCAGAAATTAAACCCAGGACCTCCACATCAAGAGAATTAAAGCTTCTAAAGGTAAAACATGTAGGTAACAATATTGTTACATAAAACTGTGAGATTATGGGAAAAAAGTGCTCAATACATCCGCATCTATCAGGAACTTAAAACTAGCATATTAAATGTCCTAATTAAATTAAAATTTAATTAAATAGGTAATGTATTTTAATACGACACTGCAATTTAACAGCTGTGTGAATAATACTATCGTTCAAGAATAATACACCATCGCAATTGTTGAATAAATCAGTGCTAATTTTATTTAATGCGTAGGTATGACTGAAATTATTAACTACGCATTTGTACCTAATTATGTGAATTTATTACAGATAATAATAAATTGCAGGCAATAATAAATGTGGTCAATTTTAGTAACCGTTACATTTTTGGTCCATTATGTTTCTATTAATTGACTATCCATAGGTATAAAGCCGTCAATATAATGCGAATTATTCTTAAATTTTTAGCGCTTTAGACTTTTTGTAAGCTTACAAGCTGTTTGTTATAAATAAATTTTGATGTTTGTTATGACAATGAC